AAAATGATTTGATATACTACTCATATCATCAAGGTGCATCTTTCTTAAGATACTCCATAGTTAAGCGTGCTCGGCTATGAGTAGTCTTGGGATGGGTGACCTCCTGGATAATTTTCTTAGTGTGAGCATATGTGAGGACAAAATACGCCAGAAGGACTTGTGTTTGTCTGTGAGGACAGTTGTTGGCCCTTGATGCGCATTTCGTGACAATAGGCCCCTCCTTAATTAGTTTGGGGTCAGGGTGTTGCAGTAGTATTCTAATCATCCCTTAATAGCATATACAATACAAGGAGTATATAAAAATTAAAGGAGTATGGTTAGGTGTATTTCCACCTACTGAATAAATATGTGGCCAACCCTAACAACTAGAATTAGTCTACATCCTAGGCTCACAACACAGCAAGATTATAAGTGAGATGAGTCATGTAAATAATTAAGAGAAGATTACATACTAATCATAATTCCACAAGGTTACTTACATATTATCGTAAAAGAGATACTGCCACTTTGTATAGATATTCCACACAAAACATACTATACAAAACAACCAATAACTAGTACTTATTAGAGCATCATCACTTGTGGTATAATTTTATACCACGGTGTAAAAACTCATCAAAAACATGCAATTTTTTACTACATTGGTGGTATAATACTATACCATTTGATGGTATATACCATCCCATGGTAAACAATTGCTTTGGTCCCCGTGAAACATGAACCAACCAGGCCACAACGCCATGTGCCCTGGTTATCTTGTACTTTTTTTTTCAATTGCATTTTAAGAAAAAATTATAAAGTAAAAAATTATGAAAAAATTACCATTGTTCATAATTTTTCAAGAGCTACACATAGACACCCATTATTGATATAGTTTTATATTTTTTTGAGTTCACTTTTTAATACATAAATTGCTTATTTTATTTAATTAACTTTACAAATATTAATTAGTTATAACATTAATTATAACTAAATTAAGTGTATTATTAATATAAATAGGAGAAGAAAGTGTGGTGGTAAACTTTTTTTATACCATGGGTGAGATGATTTTTGGAGAAAGTATATTATATTGTGGTATAGATGATGTGGAGGAGTGAGAAAGTGGTAGAAAGAGAGGGATGGTATAAACTTTTATACAATGAGTGATGATAGTCTTAGCTAGCATACATCAAACATGATAGGACCAGGTATATATATATATATATACATACATATATATACATATATTTATATACATATACATATATATATATATATATATATATATATATAATCATAACTAAAAATTTAACTATTGTAGAGTAGAAGTAATACAAGAAAGACCAAAGAACAGTGCTCCCCCCCCCTGAGTGTAATAGGTTAACTTTGAGTGGAAGTTTGTGTGGAAAAATAAGAGGATTTGGCTGCCAAGACTCACAACATACTACTTTTAATATAGATGAATTGAGAAGTTGAATGGAGGAGAACTTGGACAACTTACAAGAATAGTTAGTGAATGAAAATTAATATTGTAATTAGTGAAATAAAGGGGGTTTAAGACATCCAAAGGTTAGACACAAACAAATAATTATCTCCTAAACTCTTCACATTATCAAATGATCATCCATCAAGTTCACGTACAACTTTGTTTTAAGAAATGAGAGTTGGTCCAAAAATGAAAATGATAAGACAACAATGTACGTCAGATAACATACTAGTCATGCACCAATTAATCACATACAAACTATACAAATTATTCTAAACTAATACTAATATAATATAAATATATATATATATATATATACATACATACATATATATATATATACATACATATATATATATATACATACATATATATATATACATACATACATATATATATATATTATGTAGTTAAACATAATAATCTATCAAAAATTAAGTCATTTGGGGAAATTACTCGTGAAAGATATTAGCTCAAAAATGTGGGGTATTACAACAATATCATTATTTGTAACAAATGTATCCCATCATTTATGAAGAATTACTTGTCTATTAGATGGAACATCAGTTCCATGAATAATTACATCCCATTCACGACCACAATTACCATGCATAACTGTTACGGAATTGGAATTTCGCTTGAGTCACGGTCTCCATTCTAAGTGCATATACAATAACACACATATCATAAGCACATGCAAGTAATCTTTTTATTTTACTCTTAAACGGTATGTTAGTATAGGAATGATTGACATAATAACTTACAAGATAGTTGTTCTTGTGGTTCTTGAATGTTATGGTAGTGCATAGAAGACCTTCATCTTTATTTTTTTTTAACACAATTTATGGTGTTAAAAAAAAAGAAATAGAATGTTGTGATGAATTAAGGAAAATAAAATGTGTGTTGTGATGCAAAAACAAACTGAAATGTCACTAGTAGAAATTTTTTTATTTGTAACGCCCTATTAGTAACTGCCGTATGTTATGCTAGTTACTTACTAAAACACCAATAGTAACTGACTAAGATAATGCCGGTTATTAATATTATGACATTAGTAACCAGCGTAGTGAATGCAAGTTACAAATATGTGGTTTGCCATTATTTAATGTTGTATTAGTAACTGATCAAATAAATGCAAGTTATAAATATTAAATCAAAGAAATTTTGACAAAAAAACTTGTAACTAGCTTACAAATGCCAGTTACAAACATCAAATCAAAGAAAATTAGACCAAATATTTTGTAACTTACTTACAAACATTAGTTACAAATATAAGTCAAATAAAATTTGACCAAATATTTAGAAATTTCCTTTCAAATGCAAGTTACTAATTCCTACCAGTTTTATTTTAATATAATTCGTAATTTTAATTATTCAAGTTAATAACTTCTCACTAAAGATGGGCACGGTCCGTGCCGACACGCGGGCGGCACGGGCATGAAACGATTCCGACACGGCCTGGCATGGCACGGCGGCCCACTTGTGGGCCGTGCCGTGAACACAAATCTGGGAATCGACACGGGCACGACACGAGGCACGGTGGGCGGCACGGTGGCCGGCCCGTGGGTCGGCACACCGGCATGGCACGTGGCACGAGGTGCACCATAATTATACACATTTATTATCGAACCTCGTATTCCATATAATAAATGAAGTTATTCACTAATTATTGTAGGATTTTTAAATCATTAATTATTTTGTATTATTGATTTATCGTACTGGCTACCGGCATATATAAAATAAGTTATTCTTCAATTTTTTGTGTTTTCGGCTTATCGCACTCGTAAATTTTTGTTTTTTATTATATGCATTGCTGTTTTTTGCTAAATTAATAAAATTATTTATATAAAATAAATCATAATTAGATAAATAATTTATATAACCTTAATTTAAAAAATTTGTTCAAAACAAAATATATTAACATTAACATAAACATAAATTAATAACATTATTTATATAAATTAATAACCACCACCGCGGCACAGTAAGACCCGTTGCCCATCTTTACTTCTCACTGCTTATGTAGCCTTTCTCTCTCTGCAAAACCCTCACCGCCTCATCCACCACCTTCCTCCTTTTCTCTATATGCTCGTCGGGGACCGGCGCTTCTTATTTTAGTCGTCGTCGGCGAGGTTGGTAACATGTCCTCTATAGTTTCTCTGATTCGTTGTTTCTCTTCGCCTCTTCAAACTGCGACTGACAAGGAAGATCGAATTAGGGTTCAGTAAAAGTGTTTCTACGAATTAAATGTTGCTTTCAATTGCTTGATAAATTTTAAATCAATTTGGATGATTAAAACCCAAGGAAAATAGGTTTCATGTATAATTTCAATTCATCGACTTCCCCTTTAATTATAGAGTTGAAGATTCAATTCTGATGGATTTTTCAATCTTCCAAGATCAGAGTATTTTTCATGTGTATTATTTGGTCGTGGGTCAACACTTGAAATGAAGGTAATTTCCTCATTTTCTTCTTTAAATTATTGCATTGTGATAAAAATTATGAAACAAAATTATGTGATTTGAATGAATTGGTGAATTGATTGATTGTCTGATTTTACATCTTTTATTTGTTGTAATTTTTTTTTTGGTTGGTAGTTTCTAAAATTTCTATAATAGAATGCAAAATATTTTTAGTGTCATATGAATTTGTGTGATATAGTAGTATTTTTGCTAGTGTATCAACAATTATTAGTTGTCAGGTCACTATCTTAATGGAGGTGGGCTGAAGGTTTTCTAATGTGATATATATTGTGATTTTGGATAAGTTGGTGCTAATAAGCAGAATAACAATATTTATATTTATAGTTTAATTTATTGATGTGTTTTAGTCTTATGTAACAAATATCGACATTGCTAAGATAATGAAATTGCCTAATGTCTACAATCTGTATGTTTTACCTCACTAAAGCTTAGCCTTTTTTAACTCTAGAGCAATTGGATCAAAGTTTCAGACCAAGTTTTGTTATGAAATCTAAGATATACTTAATTTAGTTTCAACCCATTTTAGCTTAGTGTTATATTTCTATGAGTTGCACAATGCCATCATTGTATGCCCATGGTAGCATATGGCTGACATCTAGGTACCTAATTCATAAATCTAAGGCTTAGGATGTTAGAACTTAGACTTGACAAATGTTCCTTTGATTGGAACCAAATAATTGCATGTAGAGAAATTCTTATTTATGTTCCTATAATTAAGTATTTTAAGGATTTGGGCACTTGAGCACGTTTAATATTTACACACTTTATGCATTTTTGAAGATAAATATAAGTTGCTCCCTTGGAGGTTCTTATTCTTATTCATATATTTTTTCATTATTCTCTTCAGAGGTATGGCCAATTTATCTTGTTTTTACATTTTAATTTTGTTCTGGTTTATAACGCAGGTTTGTTTTACTTAGTTTTGTTAGTTTTGGCTATTATGGTCTCTATCTTGGTTTCAAACTATCAGGTCTGCCAGTCTCTAAATTCTTGCTCTACATTTCTGTTGTCATCTCAAACTACGTAAATGTGTGTATGTGTGTGTATATATATATATATATATATACATATATAAATATATATAGGACCAGGTTATAATGAGAACCAATTGCAAAATACGAACTAAGAACCAATCAAGACTGTTAGATTAGAAACAAGAGGCGCGTGATCTAACGGCCGAAATTGATTCAGACAAATTAAATGTAGCACAAAAACTAAGGCGTGATTTCTCTCTCCTCTCTCTCTCTAGTCCGTCATTTTCGCTCTCCTCTCTCTCTACTCTTCTTCGCCATTTTCAACTACTACTAGCTTTGAAAACCGCCATAACCGTCCATACAACTGCTCAATTTCGCTATATAATCACAATAATAACTTCTACTGTCTACATATTTCATTTTCGGAACAAAAAATTTCGAAAATAGGCAAAAATTGACGAATATTAGGTATTATATTAAACCTTCGAAGTTCATACTCTTTTTTGCTATTTTTGTTGCAATTTTTACTTGTTTTTTTCTTTTTTTTTTTGCTTGATTATGTTAAATTTGAAGTGCCAGAAGTTAAATCGGAGTACTTCGAAGTTCAATTTGGGCATTTTTAAGTTCGATTTCTTCTAAATCAGGTATTTTCACAATTTAGTTTGTTTTTGTTCAAATTATGTTTAATTTAATTATTATTTTGGTTTAAATTAGTTGTAATTTAGGTTTCATTTGGTACTAATTTAAAATATTTTTGATTAATTTAGGAGTAATTGTTGATAATAGTTAAATTATGAGTAATTATTTAGTGCGTTATTGTTGCTTTGGTACTTCTGCTTTGCTATTTGCTATTGAAAATGTTGCTACGTAGTAATCAAATGACTTTGGTGGATTTATGAGTGAGTTTTTAGTGCATTATTGTTGCTTTGGTACTTCTGCTCTATTACTTGCTATTGAAAATGTTGCTACGGAGTAATCGAGTGACTTTGGTTAATTATGAGAAATTTTTAAGTGCATTATTGTTACTATTTGCTAAAAGTAAATAGAAATTTGTTAAAAGTAGATATAAATTAATTAAAAGTAACTTTATTTTTTTTGGTAAATAGAGAATTTTATTACCAAAAGGAAACCAGTTACAACTAATTAAAAGTAACTTAAAAGTCGTAGTTGTTTTGAGTTTTATATTTTTGAGTGCATAACTTTTTAAAAGTAGACTGAAATTTGCTAAAAGTAGTCAGAAATTGCCTAAAAGTAAATCTATGTGCCTAAAAGTAGATAAAACTTTTACAAGTAACTAGAAATATACTATAAGTAACTTTAAATTGATTAAATTTTACCGAATTACTATAAGATCTATAACTATTGTGATTTGTGTAAAAATCAATAAATTGATGTGACTTTTGTATTATAATTTGTGTATAACATATCAAAAAAGAGAAAATCCTTACTAATTACATTACCCTATACATTATCCTTGGTCATCTAATTTTAGTTTTGAATTGCAGACAGATTAAAATGGCCAAAACTACAAAGAAAAAACCTCCAACATAACCAGATCCAGCAAAGGAAGTTTCTGCAGCAAAGGAAATCCTGCAGCAAAGAAGGTTGCTGCAAGTAAATAACTTACCGTTGGCAAGAAATCTCCTGCAGCCAAAAAATCTCCTGCAACCAAAATAACTCCCGCAACCAAGAAATTTCCTGCAAATTCAAAGCAATCTCCAATTAAAGGTATATAATATTGAAATACAATAATTATTTGATTAAGTAAATAGAAACACTTATAAAGTAAATAATTTATCTGAATAAGTCTATGTTACAAATTTAAAGATCCATACTATTACATATTGAATATAAAAGTAAATGGTTAGTTTAGTAAAGTAAATAAAAAAGCATATAAAGTAAATACATATGTTTTACAAGTTCTTTAACATGTCTATTTTGTATTAGGTGCTAAGCTTCAAAGGATTTCAAAAAAGCAAATATTGATAAAGAGAAGGATTAAGGAACTACAAGCATCAAAAGGTTCAGAAAAGTTTATTAAATTAAATTCATATGTTATATTAAATTTATAAAGTAAAGAATCTATTACTCTTAGGTACTAATCTGTTATAAAGTAAATGGAGACTATTACAAAGTAAATAGAAATTTTTATAAAGTAAATAAAAACTGTTATAAAGTAAACAGAAAAATATATATGTCTATTATATATCTATGATGTCTATTGATAAGTTTAATAAAGTTAATCTTAATGCTTATAAAGTAAATTTAAATGTTTTCAAAGTTAGTTAACATGTTTTAACAAATTATAGGAACAAAAAAGAGGATAAAATCTAAAGTGAAAGATAGCAATTATCAACCAGAAGAAGATCAGAATGAGGATTCTGATGGATCATCAGAAGAAGACAAAAAAAAGGAAAAATCTCATTTGAAGAAAAAAATGAAGCTTGGCAATTTTGACCTTTATTTACATGAAGTTATTGATGTTAATGATGATGGTAATATGGAAATCAAGAAAACACACTGCAGGCCCAATGCAGTTGTTGATTTGATCAAGTATTTCAGTTAGCAGCAAAAAAAAAAAGATGTCATAAGTATTGGTTTTGGAGGGCTTCTTGAACTAAAGTTAAGAAGAATTTCAACGAGGATGCTTCCATGGCTTTGTCACCATTTCAATGAAAGCAGCTGCATGTTCAAGATTGACATGCTGAAGGAATTTTAAGTTAGTTCCTATGACGTTGAAGATACATTCTTGCTTCCACATGTAACTGAGAACAAGGTCAGTTTTCAGTTAAGGAAGCAACCTCTATCAAACTTGTTGATTCAAAAAGAATGGAAGAAGAAGATAGGAATTCCAGAAGATGATGAGATAATTGTGAATAATTTAGAGAACAAATTAAAGATTCTGAAGGAAGGAGGGGAGGATTTTAAAAGATTCCTTGTGATGTATGTTTGCAGTACATTCTTGACCCCTATTGCAAATAGAGTGATTGATTACAAGATAATCAACTATGCAGACAATGTGAAATAGATACATAACCTAGATTGGTATGGCTATGTGATGAATAACCTGTGCAAAGCTGTGGGGAGCTTCAAGAACAATAAAAACAAGGAATCAAGATCAGGATTCAGTGGATGTGTCTTGATTCTTCAACTTGTCTACTTTCATCATCTGGCATTTAGAGGGCAACTTGAACCTACAACACTGCCATTGATCAAACATTGGTCAGATGAGAAACTGGAAGAAACAATTGCAAATGAGGCATAGGCATCTTATGGTCAAGGAGAACTCCAAAAATATGACTATCTAGTTTGTAGAAGAAAAAGAAAGTAAGCATTCTTGCGATATGTAATTGAGAATGCTTATAGAAACTTTGCTGATAGAGAGAGAACATTGGTGTCATTAAATCTACCAGAAGGTGTCATGACAGATTGTGAAATACATGATGCTGCAAAAGATGTGAGTAATGTTTTTATAAGTTACAATGATTACTTGTATTTACTTTAAAATGAAAAGTGTTTACTTTTATCTCATATTTGTTTACTATTATTATATTGAATCGCTCTGCTTCTAGTACTAATAATGTATAGTAAATGATAAACATATAGTAAATAAGGTAGACTTAAAAGGAAATAAATTAATTTAAAAAAGTAAATAGTATTTGTGTTCAAAAATAATGTATTAATAAATTGTTATTATTTATTTTGAAGGAAATTGAAGAAGAATTGCATTTGTTGACCAGAGATTTAAAACTCTTTGCAATGATACATGCTGAGCGTATAGGTATCTTAGGAGAGAAGATGAAACAACAACAAATGAATGTGTCTACATTAAATTCTTAATAGGTTTCTGAAACACAAAGGCTGATGGAAGATCCTAGAGTACAAAGGGCTATAGATGAAATAGTCACACTTTATGATGATTTAAGAGATGTATCTAGTGTGATTCTGTCAACATGGGAGGAGCAACACAAAAATTCTGAAACAGATCCTAAAACTAATCAAGAAGATGCATTTGATCCTAAATCTGTCAATTTGGATGATGATGATGAAGATATGAATATAGAGGATATGGATTATGGAAAAAAAAAAGGAGGAGGAAGAAAAGAAGGAGGAAGAAGAGGAGGAGAAGGAAGAAGAGGATAAAAAGAAGGAGGAAGAAAATGAGAAAAAGAAGGATGTGGAAGAAAAGGAAGAAAAGCAGGAGAATGGCAACAAAGAAATGGACGAGGAGAACAAGGAAGAAGACAAATAGGAGAACAAGGAAGGAGACAAAAAGGAGGATGAGAAACAACTGAATGAACCAGAGAAGGAACAAGAGAAAAAGGAGGATGAGAAGCAGAAAGTGAACATTGAAAAGGAAGAAGAGATGAATGAAGAGAGAGAAGAAAAGGATGCTGATAACCAGACAGTTGATGCTTATATTAGTAGTGTAGTACACTCATCACTGAGAGTATACCAAATCAGCCAACACAAAAAACAATTGAAAGTAAGTTTTTAACTTTAGTAAATATTTAATCAATCCATAGTTAACAGTGTATCATTGTTTTGACACTATATCTACTGTTTTATTTCAAGTGATGCTGAAAAACAAGTTCAGGAAGAAACAAACATTGAACTAAAGGACATTCACCAGGAGATAGTTTCAAAGGTTAAAATCAATTTAGATTGTGGAGAAAAAGATGTTGAAATTGATTTTGTTTCAAAGACAATGTAAGGAAATAAATCAAGAATGCATGAAATGCCAGAGCTTTATCAAATAGTGGTTGATTACTGCTTTGTGAAGTACAACCCATTCAAACAGTAAGTAATGTATTATTTAATTTCAAATATATTATATCTACTTTAGATAATATTTAGTTTACTTTAAATAATATTTTATTTACTATAAATATTTAATTTTCGTAGTGAAGAGATTTGGAAATTTGAAAGTCTTCTCATGATAACAAGAGATGACACAACATCCCTAGCTCCAATAGCCCCTGCTTAAATGATAAAATCTAATATAGTTCAATGTTGGTCATTTCTTATGAATGATTCTTGATTGAAAGAAGATCCTTCATGCTTCTTTTTTGGCATTGACCACAATGTAAGAGTTAAATAAAATGTTAAGCTAAATCATAATTAAACATGTATGACCTCATTAAGTAATATGTTTTATGTGCTCATTAATACACAGAGACCTCTAGAGCTGTCTCTTAGGTCACAAGATGCTTCCCAACAAACAGATAAAGCACAGGTGAAGTCTCCTACAGTACACTCACAAGAATTGAATCAGGCATGCTATGATTGGATGTGCCTATGTGATGCAAAAGAGAAAATATTAACAGCTCAGTTGGTATGTCTTATTATTCATGTCTATTAAACTACATTGAAGGGCATTATAATTATTTTGAATTTGTAGACTAATAACTATAATTTTAATGACAGATTTTTGTTCCAATCTGTCTAAGTAACCACTATAGTTTGATAGTGGTTAACTTTATGAATCAGACAATTCAATACTTCGATAACAGGGAATATGATGACAGACATAAGCCTTTCTGCAGAATTCTTGGATCTATTGTGGTAAGATTTTTTTTGTTTTATAAAAAGTAAATTATTAAAGTAAATAAGACTGCTATTAAAGTAAATGAATATGTATTAAAGTATACATTATAATGTCTGTAAAAAAATTAGATAAAATATAAAATAAAACATGTTCTGATTAAAGTAAATAATATTCTTATTAAAGTAAAATAATATCTATTAAAAGTATACATTATATTACCTGTAAAAAAATAATATAAAATATAAAGTAAAAGATGTTATGATTAAAGTAAATAATATGTTCATTAAAGTAATTTATACTATAAATTTGTATTTACTTATATATTGCTTTACAAATGTTATAGGTGGAGGAAATGTCAAACTTTCTGAAGAGAATTAATCATGAAAAAGCAATGAAATACTAGAATATGAGTTTGATGAAGTAAACTTCAAGTGGAAGACACCAAGATATACTCTTGATTGTGGTGTTTTTCCAATGATACATATGATGTGTTTTTCTAGAGACACTTTTGATTCTGACCTTGATTTAGCAAATAGGAGAAAGGTGTATCGTGTAGAAATATGTCCTGCTCTTGCTTTGGCAGACATAAACACCAAAAGAAAACAACTTATGGGAAAATTTTCAAGATTCAGGGTAGTTAGGAAACTAGAGAAGGAGAAAGGGGTGGAAGATATGATATGTGTTTCTGATTTCTTGAAGAAACACAAGGAAGTAATTGATAACATGAGTTTGACATGTCACCAAGTGATTGACTACTTAGCAATAAATGATGATGAAAACTTTCCAAACAACAGGTATGTTTTATACTTGCTAAAAAACAAATACTCATATTGCATTATATATAATTTTTGTTTGCCATAAGTAAAACTTTAATTTTAATTCAAAATTACAACGAAGTAGTAGGATGGTTTATAGATTCAATTGAAATAGTAAGGCAAGATTGTAACGCTTTGATCAATGAATGGAAAGTTTCAAGTAATATGATCGCTGCTTGCTCAAACCATCTCAATAACATTGAAATGCAAAAGGACAGGTTTGAAAATGACTTGGTCAGATTCTTCTTTGGATTTGAGTTAATGGTAAGTTTTTCAAATTTAATTTTATAATTTAAAATTATGCATTAAATAAATATTAGAAATAATCTTTGGATTTTATTTTTGAAGGATGCTTTAACAATGTGTTTGAATGCTCATAGGAAAAAAGGAGTAACAAGTCTGCAAAAACTATGGATTGATTGGAACAGTTCACAATCATTGGACTTGGATGCAGCTCAATGTGTAAGACAAAATTAATTTTTAAAGTAGAACATTATATGTTTAAAGTAATAAAAAACAGGTTTAAAGTAAATATGTGTAAAACAAACCTTTGTGCAGGTATATATACCTTTGAAGATGGAAGATAATTATTTTCTTGCTGTGATAAACTTCAAAGATGAAACAATTGATCATCTAGACAGCACTTTGTACGAGTCCAATGAAGAATATGAGTCTGTACATAGTTTTATCTTAGAAACGGTAAAATATCAATATATTAAAGAAATGTCTTTAAATTAATTTTCAATGTCTCATATTATATTAATATTCATTGCATTGCAGGTGATACAAGTACATAAATTGTTTAAAAAAAGAAAGCATCCACAAGTAAATGATATGCTATCTTACAAGCTGAGTATTCATTGCATTCCAAAAAGAAAAAGAAGATAATTTCTCAGCAAGCTATCTACTGGTGCATATGAAGGTTTATGATGGTGCAAATGGGATAGGATTAGGAACAATAAAAGAGGTAAGTTAGCATACTTAATTTTGAAGTCCTTGAACTCTATACTTATCTGTTATTTAAACTAAAGTTAATCTTTTAATTTTTTTACAGGAATTTCCAAGACTGAATCACCATCACATAAGAACAGTGCTTGACCTACTTCTCAATGATAAGAATCAAATGAAACAAACACTGCTTACAAATGTTGAGAATTGGGAAGAGAAGAAAGCATCTGAACAATTGTAAATGATATCAGTAGATTTGAATACATTATAGATATTAGAATTTATCATAGATATTAGAATATATCAGTATTTTTAAGTAGTTTGTTTGTATGAAGAATACATATTATACCCATAAGTATTACTAGTATTGTTCTGTGACAAAAATGTTGGTAGATGTAAAAGTAGAAGAAATCAATCACAAAGTAAATGAAAATAGTGTTAAAGTAAATAACACTATGTTTAAAGTAAAGATTTTTTTTAAAAACCTTTCTAAATTATGGTGTTCGATTTTAAAGTAAACAAAAATATTGTTAAACTAATAAAAAATGGATCTAAAGTAGAGGTGGAGATAGGAAAAAGTATTAAAGTCAATACAAGAAAAAAAATTCAAGTAAAAAACATGTTATTCGATTATAAGTGAATAAAAATAGTGTTAAAGTAAATAAAACTATATTTAAAGTAAAAGAAAAAGATTTTTTCTTTTTAAAAAAAGCTTTCTAAAATATGGTTTTCAATTTTAAAGGAAAGAAAAATATTGTTAAAGTAATAGAAAATGGATCTAAAGTAGAGGTGGAAACGGGAAAAAGTATTCAAGTCAAAAAAAAAAAAATCAACTTAAAAACATGTTATTCGATTATAAGTAAAGGGAATTAATTCGATTATAAGGCCGGAGCAGAGCGGATGTTTGCCTTTCAATCTCCATCCCCTTCCCCACAACGCCACAATGGGTACAATATTTTAATTCACATAATTCTTTTATTAAATAGTATAAAAGTATACAACTTTTCTTTTAAAGATATATATGTGGGTATGAGTTAGGGATAGGGCGAGTACTAAGTAGAACGGGTAATGTAAGTCAGGGATGGGGCAGGTACAACTTAAAGTACATCAATCCCTACCCCACCACTCGCCAAACCGAGACCCATCCCCACCAAACTAAGAATCAGTCAAGCCTCCTACTTGACATGCCCCACATCCATAGGTGGAGGTAATTGTGAAGGTGGTAGTTAAATGCTTTGTCACACTAAAGAAAATACAAATTTTTAAAATATTGTTGTTTGGAAGGTCATGCACCACACTATTTCAGCAAAACCGAGTTTGGTTTGGGTTAAGTAAGAATAGGTCGTATCTATCCCAGTTAGGTGAACGGGAATTAATACTGTGACCTATGTTGATCAAACACTGATTAGGTCATGCTTGAGTTGAATTACAACTGGCCTTACATCTTATTAGGTTTGGTACAGGTTTAGGTGAGTTTAATAACTGGTCAAGTTACATTCAAATCAAGTAAATGATTAGCGAGTTAGAGAATTAAGTGAATCTTGAATTTTAGACAAATTTGGTTCAAGTCAATAATTTTACGACTTATAATCAAGTTAAAGTCACCAAGTCAATAATCTATGTTTACATTTAGGTCAGGTCATCTACATGTCAATTCATGTTCGAGATCGGGTCTCAAATACGCTTATAAATTCAGGTTCCATGAAAAATGTGACAAGTATTTTAGAACAAAAAATGGAAATGGTAAAAACTATTCTAGGATAAAAGGAGTAGTACAAGATATTATCTTTAATTTTTTTAAAAAAGACATTATATATATCAAAAAATTCATATGAGATAAAAGTAAACAGAAACTGTCATAAAGTTAATGTATAATAGCTAAAAGTAAATAAACATAAATTAAGTTTTGTAGTAAAAATATTACAATACTAAAAATAATAATAAAAAAATTGTTCATTAAATCTTGATCTTGATCTTCCAAAATATCTTCTAATTTCCTAGTATTATAATAACTGCACAAAATTAAACTTCATTTATTTGTGAGAAATTAAAGTAAATAAATTACAACTTAAAGTAAATAGGAAAAGTAAAAAATACCAAATAAAAAAAGTATCAAGTATAATAATACCTGCACAAAATAAAAAGTAAGTGAAGATAAGGTTAAAGTAAATAAATATAAGTTTAAAGTAAATTGAACACATTTAAAAGTAAAATACCTGAAAAATTACTTGTTTGGACAATTATCAAGTATAATAATACCTGCACAAAATAAAAAGTAAATGAAGTTAAGGTTACAATAAATAAATAGAATTTTAAAGTAAATTGAACACATTTAAAAGTAAAATACCTGAAAATTTACTCGGTTGGACAGTTTCTACTGTCATGGGAAACACTAGATTGCCCACAAGCTCTACAGGTTCTACCCTTTTTGGATTTTTGTTCAATAGCTATTTCTTTTACACTCTTCAACTTCTTTGAACTTCTAGCAGAACCTTTATTAAGACACTGATTTGGAGGCAAGATATTTACATTTACTTCATTTAACCCAACCAAAACCTGAATATCAGCATCTTTCACCTCTTTTGAACTAGGTCCATTTTCAGGATTATTCTTTGATATCATCTGCTCCTCAAATGAAGATAATGTCCTAATAAGCTCATATAAATCATCCTTATATTGGTCAGTTAAACTCACACAACTGAAAATCTTGGAACATACATCACTGACCAATTGCTTCTTCTTATCATACTTAGAAGCATCATCCAGAGCAACATTTATGATAGAATCTAAGCTTTTTTCAGAACATCTTTTCTCCAACGATTCAAGATATAAGGATCGAGAATTTCACGTATACACTTGCATTGCATAACAAACAGAATGTGTCTACATAAAACGCCTTGACTCTAAAACATTCTACAAGTACAACATGACTCATATGTGGCCAAGTCAAAAGTTACATCAAAATTTTTCCTTTTCTCATGATCAATAATAATAGAAAACTCCACACCATCTCTAAACAAAGAACTATAACTTTCAGCACTACATGAAAAACAGGCTCCCTCACATTCTTCTTGAAAATCATAAAATATGGCACGAGTAAAAACAACAGCAGCGTGCTTTTCTAAGTGTAAATGAGTAACCAATTGAGAGTCAAGTTTATTAAGCCTGATCAACTCATCCTGTTCATGCCTTTGAGCATCAAGCACAGTTTCATAACGGACAAAGAACTCAACACAAGTCACATGAGGTTTTGTAAAATTACAAAAGAAACCATTTGCACCTTCAGACCTAGAAGTAGAACGCAGTAAACCACCAATAAATAAGTCCCTAAAATATGCAGGAATCCAAAGATGTTTAATCTTGAACATGTATGCAAACCACTCATGATCGACAAGGTCAAACTCCTCCATTACACTATTTCGGCCATCAACAAATACATGAGGATCAATTTCTCTATCCAAAACTATTGCACTTAGCTTTTTCAGGAAATCAGTTTCATTACATAAAGCAGTTCCAACCTTTCAGGTACCTTCCTCATTATGTGCCACATACATAGCCTATGTTTAGTCTTAGTAAAAACCTTTTCTATGGCAATACCCATTGTAGGATCTTGATCAGTGATAATACAAGAGGGTTCTCTTCCCATGCACTTCAAAAAAGTTTAAAATAGCAACACAAAAGAATCTATGTCTTCTTTAGATAATAGAGCAACACAAAATGTAACACATCCCTTGTGATTATTAACACCAGTAAAAGGACAGAAAACAAATGAATATTTATATGTATCATAGGTAGAATCAAAAGATAAAGAATCCCCAAATAATTGATAATCTCTTCTACCAATAGCATCAACCCAAAATACACGGGTCAAATGTATGCTTTCATCAACACATTAATCAATATAATAACCCCCTTTACTGGTTTTCACTTTTTGTTCAAGGTTCTGAACAAGCATCGCACCATCAGCATTAGAGATATAAACTTTCAAGTCCCTTGAAAATTTTTTGAAATCATTTTTATTGCCCCTGACATTTTCAAAGCCACCACAAAGTTCTTTCATGATCCTATAAGACATAACAACCCCTATATTTAACTTTGAGTTGTCAAAAATAAACTTCTTATGAGCAAAATTTAAACTACCTTCATGTTTAGTAACCTGCCTAGTAATAGGTGTAGAAAAAGGATGAGAATGATATTCATAAAAATAATAAACCATACACTTCTCACTAGTACAAAACCTAAATTTTATCTTAGTAGAACAACCAACTCTCTTCACAGTCTTTCTCTTTATACAATAACCTTCAACTTGTTTACCTGATTTCTTGTTATTTGTCACATACCCTTCTTTGCTACATAATAAATATTTAATTACATTAACTCCTTTACCAGTGGGATCATCCTTATTCTTTTGTGATTTATTAGTACTAGAACGGACTTTAAATCCACACTCATTAGCATATTTGTAATAAAAGGCAATACCATCTTGAAGAGTATCAAATATCATTCCAACAAAAGGTTTGTTTTCCAAAGAACAACTTGGCATATACTCTTTATCACCTCCAGAATTATAATATATTTTAGGAAGCAAAGGCTGAGGGGGTGTTTTGAAAATTCTTACATTGTTATCTTCAATAGTGACAGAAGAAGAACAATGCTCTACACTTTCAGACATGTTCCTGAAAAGTAAATGAATCGAAGGAAAAAGTAAACAAACAATAAATAAAAGTAAATAAACTATAACTAAAAGTAATTAATTTTTTTTAAAAAAAAGCTAATAAAAACTATTAGAGATATACTAAAAAGTAAATGACTCAGAGCATAAAGTAAAAAAAAATAAAAAACTTGAAGAAACTAAAAAACATGAAGTTATAAGAATATGCATAAAACATCTACAATAAATTTCGTAAGTGTAAAACAACAACAAAATTATACAACTTTATTAATAACAGCAACAAATAAACCAACTATATGTACAAAACATCTACAATGAATTTCGTAAGTGTAAAACCATAAAATAGAAATTAAAAACCAAAATCGTAAAAATAAAACAATAAATCAAACACTAAATTGTATAGAATAATTCAAAAAAACAATTAATAAGTAAAAATTAAGATAAAAAACACTAAATAGGAAAACACGTAGTAGACACCCATTTGTGTCTCCCCAAAACAAAACCTAGTGATGAGTACTTTTCACATTGAATCATAATCGAATGAAGTGAAAGTGTGGAAGGTCTAGTGTTGCGGATAGTTTTTATTTCTTTTCTTTTTCTCTGTTTTTGAAAACCTATTTTAAGAAAACAGCATATCCAGTTTGTTTTGGTCCATGGCAAGGGTCCAATAATAGTGTAGTTGGGTCGGGTTCGAAAAGAGCTTTCCAACGATATATTATAAGCCCAATTCCGATGAATAATGAGGAATTTATGGCCAAATTACTAAACTGGGCCCGGTTTGATATTTATATGTGGCCCAATGATCTAGAGGAGGGCCTAATATTGATTTATCATTCCTAATGCAATTAAAATTGATTATAGTCTTCTAGATTCTTGTAGAAGGTTCTTTCATTCCTAATTTAATTAGCATTGATAAATTGACTTTAGTTAACTTATTAGAGTTTTAATCAGAATAAAAGAAGTGTTTTTAAGGAAAATATGATTTTTCCCTTCTATACGGCTAAATTTTATCAAAGTTAAGAAAACGCGTGAAAACTATTTCTAGCACCTGACGACAAGATTAGCACCTAACGACAGGATTAGCGCCTAGCGCTAAGGCTTGGCGTCTGGCGCTAGCCTTAGCGTCTGGCGCTAATGTCTGGCGTCTGGCGCTAAGTCGTTATATTCTCTTCGAAACTCTGATTCGTTTTTCTATCCATCCGGCTGATTTTCTCTATAAATAGCCTCCTAAAATTCCGTTTTCAATCATTAACAACAATAATTCTCTAGTGCTCTCTCTCTAAAATATTTGCTCTCTCTTTCTCTTTTCTAAACTTATTTTTTGCATACAAAATTCCGCATTCACAAGATCTATAAACACCTAGCCAAGTTCGAAGTTGCTTTCGCCCTAGACGTGAAAGGTTTTAATTTTTGAGGGTTTGGTCCCAAATATATCTTTCAATTATTTAATTTAATTGTTTTGATTTTATATTTTCCTTGAAGTTACTAACGTGTGTATTTTGTTATTGGAAAGAGATACGAGGTATCCAAGTAAGTGCTTTAATTGATTTTATTGATATTATGATATAGAAATCATGTCTAGGTTGTTACTATGATTCCTAGTGTCATGTTAGGGCGTTTTGATTTTCCTAGTATCATGTTTAGGGTAACAACTATAATTTCTAATATCAAATATGACAATCACTACTACAAAATTGCTTAAAGAGACCGTAAATAAGAGACCGTTTAAGTAGATAACTGGTCTCTTTGTTTCAAGAGACCCAATATTACAAATAAGCGGCCTCTCTTGGATTTTTTAATTTTTATTTTAAAAAGGAGAGACCTATTTTAATACATGACAGGTCTCTCTTGAATTTTTTTATTTTAAATTTTAAAAGGAGAGACCTGTGTTAGTGTATAGGCGGTCTCCCTAATTTACAAATATAAAAAGGAAATAAAACCCTAGTAACTCACGAATCTTTTCATCCCGCCGCTTCATATCCTTCCATGAGTTCTCTAGCTCCATCCTCTCACTCTCCAACATTTATTTAAACAAACCCATTAAATGAATTAACCACCACCACCACCACCATTACCGGCCACTACCATCACTACCACCACCACGATCTACCTCCTCTTAATCTTTCTCATCACCCGATTTATGTTCGACCAATATGTCAAATGAAAATAATGACCTGCATCCACCTTTATCAGAATATGATGTTGAAACTTAGGCGCCTCCACCGTTAGTGGAATCCCTCTCTCATGGTGAATACTAGGTGTCGTTGGGGTTTTCAGAGTGGTTGCATGCAAAGTTTCCTCTCTAAACAATTGGTCGCCAAATTGGAATGCTCTGCCACTGCCGCCATTGACGGTTGAAGAATCACTAAAGAATCGGGAGGATCTGAACTTGGGAGAGTGAGGTGAAATCATCACTCTTCATCCTCTTTCTAATTTTGCTGCTTTTAAGCAATAAATTGTTTGATTGAAATTTTGCTAGGAATAAATTAAATAGTATTGATTATACAAAGTGCTGTAAATTTAGCCTAAGAATCTTCGATTTATTTGATTGTTTAGATTTTTTAGAAAAATCACTTATATTGGGTTTAGTTAGGTATTATTCAACAAGGTTGTATAGAGGAATTACTTGCGTCTGGAATGATTTTGATCTAACTATGAACATGTTTTCTGACTTTGTTAAACATTGTGAATCTCGATCTTCTATGTCTTTTATTTTTATCTTTGTTATAGATTAAAAGAATTTTCAAGAATACTTAGCTTGTGCTTTAGTGAATTAATCTTTGTTATATACGGAGTAACAATTATCTTTTCTGAATTTGTTAAACAATTGATTCTTTAGTGAGTTAATCTTTTACTCACTAGTCAAGTTTTCTAAATAATCTCAATTACTACATTTTGATTTATTAGTAGTATAATTGATTTATTAAATTTGTGGTTTTTGATTTTACAGATATGTTGTTTTCACAAGGAAGAAGTTGGAGTACTTCAGCTACATTTTGTGTTGATGCAATTATTTTTGTACTGTAGATTAGAATAATTTATATACGATCTACATTTTTTATTGTAGAATTTCAAGTTATTTTGTACTGTGATACGTGTAATTTTATACCAATTCTTTAAAAATATAGCATATAATATATTGTAATTTTAATTAACAAAATCAAATTAAATACATTTATTTTTTTTATTTAAAATGAGACCAAAGAGACCCAATAAGCCTAAAAAGCGGTCTCAGTTTTCTAAAAAAAAGACTGCCTATTTAAGATAGGCGGTCTTAGTTTTCTGTAAAGAGAGATCGCTTTTCTTATAAAGGCAGTCTCAACTTTCTTAATATTGAGACATCTTATCTTTAAGAGGCGGTCTCAGCATTCCCATTCTAGAGACCGCCTCTAACAAAGCAGTCTCTTTGCCAAAGAGACCGCTGCGCTAGAGACCGCCTCTAAGGCAGTCTCTTTGGCTAATTTGAATGGGTCTCTTTGGCCAATTTTGTAGTAGTGAATTGTGATTCCTGCGATGCTTCCTATTTTTCTTTCTAATATTCATGTTAGTATCATGTTAGGATTAAAGCTTTGATTTTTATTGCTTAGTGACATTATAGGGTTTGTTATTAATCTTGTTAGTGTCATGCCTAGGATCTTGCTATTATTATGCTTTAACATGATGATTTTAATTATTATTATTGTTATTATTTATGATGATTATTATGTTGCTTGATGCTTATTATTGTTATTGCTTGATCACGCCTTTTCATGTTTATAGGAAATTGATATTTGTAATCACGTTTAATAAGATAATTAATAATCTTGTTTAGGGTTAATATGATTATAATTCAAGTGATCGCCAATAATAGATTTATTTGTGCATTAATATTCAACCAACATAGATTAAACAAGTTTAAGGTTAATCCCATTGATTGCATATTAGTTAGAAAGCGCACATGAATACGATCAGAATAAAGTAGAGGCCTATTATAAGGGCAGGTTCAATCTCTTTTAGGTTGGATTTTTACCTTCATCCCCGAACTACCAGTCATGGTTCCAAACCTATTGGAGTTGACGATCTCCTGGATCGTTAAGGGGTGTAACCTTCACCTCGTGAACGGTTTACAAGTTCCTAAAACTTGTTGGCGACTCTTTTACTCTATCTTCTTTCGCTTTGGACGCCACCGTACTTAAGTGTATGATCACAGTGGGGTTAAAGTTTGGGGTAATGCTTGAAATATTCCCTATAGTTTTTGGCGACTCCACTGGGGAGGATTTCTATTTTAATTCCTAAAATTTATTTTGGCAATGATTTAGAATGAGTAGATGAGACTCGAAAAGTTCTACGTATTTCATGTGCGTAATTTTGATTAACATTATTGTCATATGCATAAAAAAGATATCATTAGAAAGACCATATGTAATGAGTTAAAAACATAGGATTTTTACACGTAGGAAATTTGAGGAATACCTTTCACAACTAGGATTGAAATAATGCTGCGCGAAATTGGAAAATTTTATCGAGCACAAAAAGCTGCTGAGGCATGTAGAAACTAGCATCAGAAAATAGAGTCTAGCGCTGATGATTTGACTCTGGCGCCAGGCTACATCTCCTATCGCCAGGCACCAAAACCAAATCGCGGTGTCGGCCTCTGTTCGCTGGCGCCAAGTTCTTATAATACCGAGCCAGAAATATGCGTTCTAATTTTAACCAGTTTTTAGCAATGTTTGCTTGTTCCTACTTCCTGATTGAGTTTTCTCACTTTTCTAAAACCTATATGTGTTCTACATATGGACATAACCCTCTGGGAATTCATGCTCCATTTACCTGATTGAACGCTCTATGCAAAAAAGGGTACATCCGAGAATGTTGAATTCACTAAACCATGGAAGCGAGTTTTTAACTTGCGATGTCCCATCCACTCGCGCCAACCCTTCAAAGGTAAGGATTTCGCACGATGCGTCCGGACAATTAACCATGGACCCTCTTTGACTAACCCATATCCCGAACTTTAGAGA